ACTTTGAACGATGACGCAATCAAGTGATAATTACGCACTCAGGATTAAATCTTCAAAAAAAAAAAAACTTCTTTCGATGGATCCTGTTACCATACACGGTGATTCTTTTATTTCCACAACAATTGAACATCCTTTTTATCCATACGAGGATAATGGCGGGTATGAATAGTCTTGCTTATATGAGAGATCGCGTTTGTCAAACCACACCGAGGCACTAATAATATTTAGAAACTCTTTGCACACAGCTCTTCATTGGCAATAGCAGGTGAAGATTTCTGTGTCTTGGCTTCTGACACTCGTCAAAGTAGAGGATATAGCATAAATTCTCGATATGCCCCAAAGGCATTTAAACTGTAATTAAAAGTCTACTCACAGTGTTTTCGGTATCGTGATTGAGGTGTTGACACATAATCAATTATATCGACACAGATCTGATAGGGCAGTATTGGCGATGAATGGATATTCGGCCGACGGTATTTCATTAGTTAAAAGACTCGGACAAAGAATGGAGGTTCGTCATGTTATGTTCCGTTGTTATGTCATTTTCTTTATACGTTTTCTATTGTTTTAATTAATTGGGATCATCTTTCACACAGTGGTATAAACATGCCCACGACAAGGAAATGTCGACGCCAGCATTAGCTCAGATGCTTTCAAACACTCTCTACTATCGACGATTTTTCCCATATTATACATTCAGTTTGTTGGGAGGTCTTGACGAAAAGGGTAATTTAAACTCGGACAAATTCTTTTTATTATGTTTGGGGCATTTAAGTTAAAATGGCATTGCATATATAGGTCAAGGTGTGGTGTATAGTTTCGATCCGGTGGGTTCGTATAAAGCGGAATTGTATAAGTGTGGCGGATCCGCGTCTCGTCTGATTCAGCCATTCCTGGATAGTCAGGTATGTCACAAAGGAAATAATCCTTTTTCGCAGTTAGTCGAAATCGTTTTTCTTTTTTTTTTCTCATATCTGTTTAATATGATTTAAGGTTGGATTTAAAAATCAACAAAACGTGGAAAAACACTTCCTACCTTTGGAGCAAGTAATTCGCCTTGCACGGGATGCTTTTACATCGGCAACAGAAAGAGATATTTATACCGGAGATTTATTGGAGATTTTTATCATCAAACAGGATGGAATCACTGTAGATAGCTATCCATTGAAGAAAGATTGAAAGGATGAGCGAGGCACCCGAATGTTATTAAAAATTAGCCGAGATACATTTCTGATTGAGGAATGTTGGCGCTTGTCTTGTTTCTTATGCACTTTTTATTCTTGGCCGAAAAATATATCTTTATTATCTTTCTTGTAAAGTGAGTTCTTGATTATATTATAATTATTTTTATCAATACTGTGTATTATGTCAATATTTAATGTTCTCGTTTCTCCTTAACGAGAAAAAAAAAATTCACCAGGTTACTTGTGGTTTCGAGTAAAACACAACGATCGATATACATATGAGTTGAATTGCGTCATGTAATGTGTCTATGAGAAACAACTTCACCGACATATTATAAGAGACGTAACGCGTGAACGAAAGGGCGCTCGAAACTATTGTCGGAAAAATAATAATAAAAAAAAGAAAAATCATTATGTAAAGAGATCATCATTAGAAAAAAAAAAAGAAATGGCTGGATACGTGCCTAGCCATATGATCAAATTTATAATGATTGCTGTCGGAATATCTTGAAGTTGGTATTCGACGATAGCATTATTCAGTACGATGGTCAACACTAGTGACGTAGCTAGACTCGCCTTTTTATGTATAACGAATTATGCGTGTTTGGTAAAATGTGTAAAATGTGTTGTCGCACTTGACACGAACTGGAGACAAATTTACCAGAGCACCGGTCTGAGGTACGTCATAAGCAAGCGCTTCTCTCTCGGTTGGAGAAAAATTTTCTCCCTTGAGTAATGCCATTTGCATTTTCCCGAATACGGAGTACGCGTAATAAAATGTTGTGACAACTTTGGTAAAGAAATTGGATGAGTAGATGAAGATGATCGGCAACCGAAAATCACTCCTTTAAACAATGTTCTAATCTCGTGCAATTCTACCTTGAGAGACAATGATTGATATGGCGAGGGTCTTGAAATCTGGGAAATGACTAGTGAAGTTTACGATATTCATCTTAGAGAGATCCATGCGGAAAAAAAAAAAGAAAAAATTGTACTCTTGTAATCGAATCGATTTTCCATTCATTATATACAATAACTTAAAATAGTTGAATCAAAAGAATCGACAATATTTCACGCGGATTCACGGAATGTTGCAGATCGACGCCATATATTGCGACAAACATAAAAGATCGCACAAAAAAGTATTTGAATTAACATTTAAAATGAAGTATTAGTATTGATGCAATTATGGAAATCACTTGCGAATATGCAGTATATTAAGTATGAAATCAAATATACTGTACTAGATCGATTTTTCGAATGTGCAATTTGTTATTTATAAAATTTAAATTAACATGCGATATTTATTCAATCTTTAATTAACTCATATGGACTATTGATATATGATCAGTTATGTTAAATTATTAGGTTTTAAGTTAAAAACTCTTTAAATTTGATTTAAAAAAATAATATTCTTCTTTTATAAATTTAACTTTATTTTTAATCTACAGAATCAACACTAGTAAATTATCGAGGTAACAATTATTCTATCAATTATCGAATTATTAAAGTTAAATTATATAAAAGGTAAAAAATAAATTGGATTGAATCTCTTAAATTTGATGTAATTTTTTTCAAATAAAGTTGACGTTAATTAAAATAATTATCTATTTTTGAATCATTCAAAAAATTCAAAATCTTTTTTGTAAAATACCTAATTAATTTTCAAACAATTATTTTAATTTTTTTAAAGATTTTGATTAATTAAAAATAACATCATTAATTTTATTTAATTAAAATATTTTTTTTTTTTAAAAAAAAAAAAAGATTTTGATTTTATTTAATTTTGATATTTTAAATATGATATAAAAATGTTTTTGAAAATTAAACTAATATTTATTAAATATTGATATGAAAAATCAACATAAATTGTTAAACTAAATTATTTTGTTTTAATATTAATTTCGAAAAATTAAAGATATTAAATTAAAACCTATTATTAATATTTTTTTATGTTATAATTAATAATTTAAAATATTTACATAATATTAAAATTTTAATGATGTCGAAATTGCTGCGTACGGTGGCACGTAGGACAAACCGTGTGCGTCATACAAATATGATCATTAAAAATATCGCGAGTAATTGGAGCAGACACCATTGATTCTTTTTTTTGCATTGCACCGCCGGGCTTCTGTTTCTTCACCCTGAAGCTTTTGTATAAAGAGAAATGTCGACGAATAATCAACAATTCTGGCTCAAGGAGGCCATTGATCAAGGGAAAATCAAGTTTATCCAATTTGATACTTTTAGTAATATTCAAATTATTGCTTCCGGCGCCTTCGGGGAAGTCTCCCGTGCGTACTGGTCAATCGGCGAAAAGAACGTGTCATTGAAAAGTTTGGGCAATGAATATAGTAATTGCGACCAACGTTTCTACCAAGAATTTATCAAAGAGGTCGGTAGATAAATTGTCGCAATCATTCATTGCAGAAAATGAATAATCATTTTTATTCGACTAATAGCTCAGAATTGCTCGAGAAGTTGACTTTCATGATGCTATAAATCGATTTTTTGGTGTAAGTAGAGGAAAGTATTTTCAGATCCATTAATTTTATTATCATTATCGTCAACGTTACTTTGGGTTTGCAATACAAAGACTTTTCTTTTTTTTTTTTTGAAAAAGTGAAAAATAAATAGAATAAAAACAAACAAAAAAATAAAAATATTGTAATTACAGATTCCGCGAATCGGTATTATCTGGTTTTGGAATACGCTAACGGCGGAAACCTGAGAGATTTTTTACGAAACAACTTTGCTAGCCTCGACTGGACAAAAAAAATAGACATTTCTAAACAGATTGCTCGCGGTCTTCGCTGTTTGCATAGTCAAGATATAGTTCATCGAGATTTGGTGGTTATACATTTTGCCCAACTTTGATCAATTATTTTTATTCCTAGATTATTCATTCCTTTTTTCTTTTCCAAAATTCAGCATCCCAAAAATATATTGATTCACAATGGGAAAATGAAGATCACCGATTTTGGATTGTCGAAACCCTTGGATACAGTCTCTGCATCAACTCAAGAAGGAATGATAGCATATGTGGATCCACAATCTTTAAATAATTCATCGTACATAAGGTCAAAGTCTTCCGACATCTATAGCTATGGGGTAATGCTCTGGGAGATATCCAGTGGCCAAATTCCGTACAAAGATGTGGATTGTCTAGATATCATCGAGGGTTATCGAGAATCACCGGTGATAGGCACCCCAAATGCATTCGCGGAAATTTATTCAAAGGCTTGGTGCAGTTATGAGGAACAACGCCCGACGATTCAACAGGCATGCGATGCACTCGATGAAATAAATTTGTTACCAACCTTTGATTCTCACCCATCACCTTCATCACTATTTTCATACGAATCATCTACCAGCAACGTGGAAAACACCATGGCTCCGAGAATAATCCAGAATAAACGCACAACCATGATACCCGTCGAAGGAAATGTAGGTTCAACAACCACTAGTAAAAATGTGTGGCCCGCCACTGTTGATATCAGTTCAATAACTTCGATGGCTGCAGGTGCAGATAATAACTCAGTGCCTGCGACCAACACTGTTAGAAGGAGATCGGGTCCTGTAAATGACAACAAGAGTTCGAGGACGGCTAGTGTCGATAGGGGCACAAGAGCGACAAATGCCGAAAGAATTGCAGACAAAAGAACGGAGGATAGAAGGCTCCTCATGAGTAAGGCAACCTTGGTCATTTAGATATCGCATTTACAACGTCAATCTCAGAAAATCAATGAGTAGAAGCTCATGATTTGCATCCCTTTTTCTTTTTTAGGTCAGAAACTGCAGAAGCCAAAAACAAAGGACGCTCAACGTCAAAGGGCTGCCTATCCCATCTCAAAAAAGGAGGAGGTAGTGGAGTATGCGAAAAAGTACAGTCGAAATGCGGCAGCGAGGCATTATGGTCTTGATGCCCCGATGGTAGGTCGTTGGGTAAAAGCTAGTGAAAAATGGAATAAGGACACAAACAAAAATATTATGCGCCTTGGTTCGGGAAGAAGAGCATTCTTTCCGGAAGCAGAAGATAGGTTGCATCAGTGGATCCTCGAACAACGGAATGCCGGGACCTCCATGAGTTACGCCATAATAAGAAAACAAATGTTAGAGATTTTAAAGGAACCTGACATGGTCTCGTTGTATTCGAATGCTGGTCAATTTAAGGCCAGAAGTCGTTGGCTAACAGCATTCATGAAGCGCAAAAAAATTGCATTGAAAAGACGAAACAAACTCCCCCAGAAACTTTCGGAACAACTTAGAATATCATTGGACAAATTTCGCCACGACATTTTTCAATTGAGATGCGCCCTCCCCTTTGAAATGCATAACATATTAAACATGTGTGAAACTCCAGTGTGGTTTGATATGTCTGGGCACTTCGCTGTAAATCCCATTGGCGAGAAAAGTAATTATGGAAATCGCTCAAACAATGATAAAAGTCGGTTCACGGTTGTGCTCACTTGTGCTGCAGGTAAGGTGACGCGTGATTTCCTGATATCTATTTATTTGCTGTTCACCTACTTTATTTATAATCGTATGTAAAATTCAGATGGCTCCAAATACCCCCCTATATGCATTTTCAAAGGAAGACAATTGCGCGGTGAAGTCATCCCACATGGTGTCTTTGTATGGTTCCAGGAGGATGAATGGATGATGGGAGAGCTAATGAATTATTATGTTAATTATTTATGCCAGATCAGATCAATTCAAAACAAATCAAATATGTCTGCGTTAATGGTTTATGATCCATTCCGCGAGCATTTGGATGATTCTATCCAAAGAAAATTCTATGATAGCAACATTCGTTTGATGCCAATCCCCTCTGGGTTGAAATGTGTTTGTCAACCGTTGGATGTGGTACTTAACAAACCATTTATTGATAATTTAAGAAAAGAATGGTACCAATGGATGGTAGGCGGAGGTGCAGGGTACACTTCAGCTGGAAACCTCCGTCTTGCAAAGTTCAGTGATGTCTGCGTGTGGGTGAAACGATCGTGGGACGAAATTCCAACTGATTTTATTTTGCATTTGTTTAAAAAATGCGGAATTTCCAATGCATTGGATGGATCAGAGGATGACGTGGTTTATGACGATATAGAAGAAATCGCCAAAGAACTTCAAAAGGAGAAGGAGCTCGAAGATATAGTTAATGGTGAAGATGAATATGAAGTTGTTGATCTGAAAGATGGTGAAGAGAACAATGAAGAATTGATTCCGATAGACGACAATGAGGAGGAAAATGAAGAATTTGAAGAGGGACGAATTAGCGAGGAGCATTATTTTTGAATATGAAAAATTTATTTATTGCATCCTCTTAAAGAGATCTGCTTCATGTGGTCAATTTGTTTTAATGGGGGTGTTTATTTTCGGAACATTGAAACCAGAAGCCTATTTTTAAATTATGCATTAAGGAATAAGTACAATTGAATAACTGTTTGGTTTGATCTGGGTACCTTATCCAGAACCGAATTCAAAATAGCAATTCTGTTATTATTTAATGAAATTGTATATTTATATAAAATAAAATTGTCAAATCAATGTCTATGATTTTATTGCAATTTTAAATTTTAATTATTGACTGCAATTATTATTCTTTTTTATAAAGTAACGAATACGATTAATTGTTTATTTGCATCAATTGATCTTATTAATTTTTTAAGTATCAAACTTATAACAACTCTTTCTGCTTATCCTCTAACCACACATAAAAAAGATGGTTTCAAAAAGTTTTTATACTTCTTTGCTAATTAAGTCTTACCACTTTCTTTAAATCAACCTGAAAAGAACTTTAGAAGCCATCCAAACTCCTTTCCTTGTTTATATTCCTTCTTAAACAAAAACTTGGTTGCTAGACATCTAAAATTAAGCAATATTTTTCTATCAATAGCAAGAAAGTTCTGAAAGAAAAAATAATTAAAGTTCTGCTTGTCTACTCACTTGTTAAAGAAATATCACAGAGTTTAGCTTGGAATAAGAGATTAAGATTATTTTTATCATTCTTTTTGGGTTCCATTAGTGCTCTTTCTCAGTTTTTCTGAAGAATTTTGCTTATCTCAGCTTGGCACCAAATTTTAAGTAGTATGAAGTTTTTATGTAGTAATTAGACAATAGGGAACATATCTATAAAAGAATGTAAACAAGCTTCAATTAATTATTTTACATATCTAAATATATTTTTTTAGTTCTATAAAAACTTGGGATTCATTATAAGCTATTTGTATTGTTATATAGATAGATACAGAATATTATCTAACTATTCAGTATATTCAATCAGAAGAGTTTATTCAACTACAATAGAGTTTACAAGATACTATAACTATTTTTAGAATTATAGTTAACCATTTCTGGTTACCAAATAGTTTTTTTCTGCTTCCTAAATAGGTAATAATTCAAACATCAAATTTTTATAACAAAATAGATTTTCTTGATATGTATAGTTTGATGGAGTAAAAATTTTTTTTAAAATAATATAGATCTCTTAATATATTTATTAAAAAAACTTAGAAGTAAAGATGGGTCCCTAAAGGAGAAGGCAGGGACAAAAGTCAAATGTCTCTCACTAGGAAACATTAAAATTTTTAAATTAATATTATAATTATAAAAAAACTATCCACAATTGTTTTTCATTATTCAAATCGTTGATTTATAATATTTCTTGACTTTTGTTGCTATTAAAATAAAGAGCTATGAATTTTGTCTCTCAAAAAGGAACATAAATAATCTGCAAAATTTTATATACTAAATACTTTAGGAACTTATCACTACTTAGAAATATTGATAAATCTTTTTTTTAATATATAAATTAGATTTATTTGAGTAAGTTATTCTTTATAATAAGCTATTTAATTAATAGATAATTTAATTAAAATATTATAATATAGAGATATTGAAAGCAGCTAAAAGATAGACAATATATCTTCAACTAAAGAAGCCCTTAAAAAATAATCAGTCTATAGTATTAAAGTAATAATAATAGTATAAGATATTATTAACTTTATAAAATTCTAAAAATATTTTTATTGATTATTTCATTGATTGTATTTATATATTAACCATATCACTTTTATTTAAGTTTCTTAAGTAATGACAAAGCTTTATGAAAAAAGGTTAAGATTTTAATGCTTTATTTGAGATATTTCAATCTGATACTTATTTAAATAAAAAATTAGTTAGAATGACTTATTTAATGTTACAGATGGTAAAAGGAATATTTCTTTCAAAATTTAAATGAAACAAAAAGACTATTCCAATTAGTTAAATCCATTTTGAGAAGAGATTGTTTTTATTTTTGGATTTTTTAATAGATCTAAATTATTATTTTTTCTTTTTTCTTTTTTAACTCAACAATTTATTAGTTTTTGAGTTAATCAATAGTAACAAATTGTTAACAATAATCTTAATAGATAAAAAAGATCATAACCAATCTATCAAAAAAATATAATATTGTTCTCAAAATCTAACTTAGATACTTATACTATATATAAAAATAAGTTGGTTATATTGTAAAAGTCTATAAATTATTATAAATATTGGTTTAATTTTTTAAAAACACAAACCATTATAGCATAATTGTGAATTAAAAATTTATTATTAATTGAAAAGAATATTTTATAAATATTATATTCAAAAATTTAAGTTCTTCAATAAAGATAGTCATAATATTAAAAGATTAAAATAATATAATATAGAATATACAGCAAATCTCTCAAACCCTTAAAATTTTCCTTTTTAGGCAATTTAACTAAGGAAAGAGAAACATATATAATTCAAGACACATATTCTTGTAACACTAGTACATAACAGTCATTATAGCACAAAACAATATTTTGTGAATAACCCTAAAGCAGTAGATTATTGAAAAATATATATATGCAGTAACAACTTTGACTTTTCTCTATTTTTAAGAAGAAGAAAAGAAACTAATATAAATTGATTTACAGTCAAAAAAAGGGAGAAATATCAACTTCACAGTGCTTGCAATTAGGCCAGTATATGTTAACACCTTTCTTGACACTATAGGAATCTTAAAAAAAGTAGATTTTCTCAATAAATCAAATAAACCTCAAATCTCTTAAGACCCAAAAGAATATCAAAGCTGCTTAAGGTCTAAACAGCCTAATATGTATATTCTACCCTGCAAACACCAAAACATTTAGCCAGAGTAATGCAAATATATGCATGTGTATAGACTTGTTATTAAAACAAGTTTGACAAAAATCTATTACAACAGCACAATAAGAGCAAATAGATTTGGCAAGATTCTCAATCACAATATCATACAAGACATGATTGACATAAAAAAAAACAGCAGGAATCTATAATACAATATTACAAACTAGTTTAAACAAGTAAAAAACATTAGATAAAGAAGAAATAAACAATATGTGTTTGATTAAAACAAAATTAAGACCCAAATTAAAATAGGGAATTATTAAAACAAGAAGTAAAATATGTAAAAGATTTTTTAACTCCATATGACTTTAGCAATACTATGTGATTTATCTCCTATTAGCTACCCTTTATATGCACAATAAATAAGACAGAGAAGATTCTATAAATAATAAATAATAAAGAAAAGAATATTATTGATACTCTAATTCGACTTGTAAGAAAGTATGACAAATATAATGAATTATAAACTACACAATAAATAGTCAGATAGAGATAAACTATCATACAAGTGAAAAAAAAAGCACCAGTCTCAAAAACCTGTATAATACTGGATAGTATTATTACAAATATCTTAGGAATAGACAAGATGACATTTCATAAAGAACAAATTTTAATACAATATATAACCTACCTTTGACAGCTTGGGAAAGTAAAAGAAGAGAATTTGTTTCAGCTATATATCAATATAAACTTCTTGAAATAATAATAAAAAAAAAGAATAATCAAAAAATATAAAAGCCCTTCTCATGGAGATTATTACTCAGATAGAAAATGATTTAACAATAGATAATAAGATTATAATATCTAATATTAAAGAATAAGAAAAAATAGAAAAGGAAATAGAATTCAAAATACTGAGAGAAAAGATTAAAGAACAAAATATAAGTGAATGTAACTCATACAGTATAAGAAATAGAGCTGTAAATCCCATTACAAATCTATACTGTATAAGTAAAAAAGGAGCATATCAATTAGAAGCCATACAGTAAATATTCCAGGAAGCTTAAAAAAGGAATATAGAGCCTATTTGTACAATGCTTTAAAACTATCTCAAGATAAATAAAACCTTCTTCATAAAAGTTTTATTAATGACAATTAATGGCTAATTCTTCATTCTAAAGAAGAAGAAGATCTTCTTAAATGTTTAGAAGAGTTAAACAGAAAGGAAAAAGCCTTCAGTCTTCAATGACTAAAACCAGTAAAAGAAGAATATATAGATCAATAAGCAATAAACAAGATGGAGAAAAATATATTTTGAACCTACAATTCAGAATAAAGTAAAGACATATAGTGTATAAATCTAATAGATGTAGATCATAAACACTCCAGAAGCTATATAAAAGAATATCTAAAAAGATATAGGAATATTAAAAACATTGATATCTATAAGGTAAAAATAAAGACCAAAGTAAAGGCCTACCTCAAGTAATATAAATATTTTAAAACCAATTCTGAAGAAATATGGATAGCACTACTTGAATA